AGGAGGAGAAGGAGGAGGAAGAAGAAGAAGGAGGAGGAGAAGGAGGAAGAGGAGAAGGAAGAGAAGAAGGAGGAGGAGGAGAAGGAAGAGGAGGAGGAGGAGAAGGAGGAGGAGGAGGAAGAGAAGAAGGAAGAGGAGGAGGAGGGGGGAAGAGAAGAAGAAGGAGGAGAAGAAGGAAGAGAAGGGGAAGGAGGAGGAGAAGAAGAAAGAGGAGGAGGAGGAGGAGAACAACAACAGCAGAATGACCTCCTACACAATTGTGTTGCAAAATACTGAAAATCTGACTCAATTATTTGGACGTCCAAACACTGCATTCAGCTCACTCCCCTGCCCCCATTTTACCCCTCTCCCCCTCCTACCATTTACCTGTCCAGGTGAAATGCTGCAATCTCAGCATTGTGTCTCTCGTAGTCGGAAAAATAAAAGAAATCAGGGGGTGTTTCCTGCTCTCTCGTTTGCCTACAAAGGAAAGAGAAAAACAAAACGCTCGGGTGACATAAAATGGCAAAGAGGGCATCCCTGATTTATATCCGTCCCTAAAAATGGGCGCAACTTGTATTACTGTGGAGATTTTTGGGGAAAAAAACTGTACAAAACATAGCCTTGCCACGTTAATTTGGGAGATCCTTTTGCTCCCTATTATCACCTCCGGGTTGGGGTGCAGAAGTCAGAGGGTCACCCAGATGCCCCCAACCAGAAACTGAGTTAGAGAGAGGCACAGAGAAAAAGAAGAAGAAAAAGATTTAATTTACATTTTTCAATACACGCTGGCTTAATTCATCCTTTCCCCCATCAAATATGCAACCCACAACCGAATTTTCCTTCGGTTCTCGCACACCCGCTGAATTTCCCTCTTGCTTTTCTGAACAATTAGCCCGCCTAGGGCTGGCTTTGTGAATAAAAATTCTCCGCTAGGAAAACAGCACACAACAAGGAAGACATTCAGGAAAATTGCTTACACGGTGGGGAAATTGTGAGAAAACACGTGGTTTTAAGCATGCAGGCTTTTTATAAAGCCTTGCACATTGGCGTAAAAACAAGAGAGGGCCAGGGTGTGTTTGGAAAACAAACAAACCAGGGGGGAAAAAAAAAAGAGAAAGCAAAATATTTTAAAGTCACAAGATGGAGGGTGTGTAAGTTTTTCCTGGCTGAAGGCAGACACACAGCCTTGAGGCTAACCAAAGTAAGTAGGATTAGGACAAACATCAATATCGTCGGATTTTGTTGAACTTGAACATGACTTAAAATCAGCTTCGATGCATACCACCGTCGCAAAATTTGTTGTATGGTCTTTTGTTTTTTAAAAGAGGCATTTATGTTCACAGCGATTTAATCTCAGTGCACCGATTAGCTAGCTTTATGTGAAGGGACAGGCTGTATACACACAATAACTTTCTGACCTACAATGGGATGAAAGCCAGATTTGAAGGAAAACCCACGTTTGGAATGCATGTGAGTGGTGTTGGAAACATTAGATGTTAGTGTAATGGGTACAAGAGAATAGTTGTAGCTCAGGGTTGAATTATGGGGTCCTTGGTGCTCTCTGAGCTTGGTGGTTTTCTTGCAGACGTTTCCTGACCCAACTAGGTAACATCATCAGTGCTAGAAGGGAGTGCGGTTTGCAGGAAGGAGGAGGAAGAGAAGGAGGAGGGCCTAAAACTCAGAGTAGTCCCTTCTACTCCCTTCTAACACTGATGATGTTGCCTAGTTGGGTCATGAAACGTCTGCAAGAGAGCGACCAAGTTTAGAGAGCACCAAGGACCCCACAGTAGCCTTTCTCCTCCTCCCCCTCCTCCTCCACAAACCCTACTCCCTTCTAACACTGATGATGTTGCCTAGTTGGGTCATGAAACATCTGCAAGAGAACGACCCAGTTCAGAGAGCACCAAGGACCCCACAATTAGTGCAATCATCGAGTCACAGCCTTGTCAGATTTCTGGAGATTTTTTTATGAACATTTATTTGCAAGTTTCTCTGCTATTGATGAAAAGAACGGCTTCTTCGCTGGTTCCCAGACAGTGGTGCAAAGAAATGAAATTCCCCTTTCAAATATATCCAGGGATGAAGTTCTAACTTGGAAATCAGCTCCTTGGCTAACATTTCTGCAAAAAGCTTAACCCTTCCACCTTGGGAAATCTTAAGGAAAATGTCATAAGAACCTTGTTTGGGAAAACTTCCTCTTTGCTGAGTCAGCTGCCCACACAAACACAGGCTCCATAACCGAGTTAACTCATTTCCTGGGATTGCACAATGCACCAAACCACCATCATTCACCCCAGGGGTGAGGCTTCCCAGCATGCTAAGCTCTAAAGATGAATGTTTAGCCAAACATTACATGTTTTGGGATTTGTGGAAGGAGACTGAAACTCCATTGTAAATCCACGTAAAGCCTTGGGTTGTTGTTTCAGTGCTGCTCCTAGAAGTACACAACCACAATCTGGTTTTCCCACAGACAGTCACATTCGTGTCTTGCAAGCCAGGGTTACTTCTTCTTAGAAAACTGGCCCCACCGAATGACGAATATTTGGGACGCGCTTGGCTTGAAGCCGGTCTAAAAAAGTGTTTGGGTTTTATACCAATGTGTGCAGCAACACAAGGGTTGGGGACAGGGGAGGGATTTGATTGGTTTGGACCGGTTCAAGCGAACTGGATGTTAAATTTGGCAAAAACTGGTATCGAACCAAAACAGCTAGCCCAGCCCAGCCCTCCCCTCCACTTCCAGGAGCCCAGGGTCTGTACGGAGGTTCTGGGAGGGAGGAAAATGGGCCTCCCAGAAGTACTGGAAGTCCAGAAATGGGCCTGTTTCCAGTTTCTGGAAGGCTTCCAGAGCTTCCGGTAGGCCACACCCACCATGGCCACGCCCACTCAGCAACTGGTTGCTGGGATTTTTGAATCCCACCTCTGGTGGGGGGGTTTAATCTCCTTCGTGTGTCAAACTTTGTGTGTGCATGTGTGTTTAGTCTAGAGAGAAATAGTTTCAGTGAAATTTTTTTCACTTAGCCACATAAATTCTGGGCTCAATTGTGGTCATAAGTCCACGACCACCTGTACTGTCATTTGGACTTATTTTCTGCTACAAAACACACATACACACACACACACACACACACACACACGGATGCACAATCCAACCATCCCATTCTTCTCCACGACCTTAGCATCTCGTTTGATATTGTTGGGTCAATTGGCTTGGCTTTGTTTTTAATCTTCTCTGTCAAAAGAACCCCGCAGACTGATAGCTTTGACAAAAGCTACGCTGGCATCCTTTCCTCAGCTCCCTTAGAGGGTAAACTTATCTGCAACGAAAGAAGGCCGGGGGGGGGGGCTTAAAAAAAGACATTTTGGAGGGGAGGGGGGAACTCTTGCTTCAAGGGCACAGCTTTTCTCTGGAAAGCAACCGTTAGTCCTTCTCGCTATACACGAAGTGCTCATTATATCTCCACGGGAAGGGTGCATTGTCAGAAATTTAACTTTTTCTATTAATTCCCTGCTGAACCTAGCCAGCCACAGATTACAATTCTCTGCAGTAAATGTGGTTTGGCGTTCCTACCCTGCTGTTGCTCTGGTTGATTGGATTTAAGTTCATTACATTTCCATGCAATCATCTGTCTATCTATCTATCTATCTATCTATCTATCTATCTATCTATCTATCTATCTATCTATCTATCTATCTATCCACACTCACACACATTCATCTGGATGGCTGGGCTTACGTTCATTGCATTTTTATAGATTCACATCCATTTATTTAAATAAATAAATAACAATAAACATCCATCCATCTGGTTGGTTGGGCTTAAATTCATTATAATTTCATGCATTCAACTCTCTCCCTCTCCCCCCCCCTCTCACACACACACACACATACACACACCATCCATCCATCCATCCATCTATTTCCCACATAATCACATTGTACTCACCTGGTTGGTTTGGCTTATCTTCCTTGAACTTTCTTAGATTCATATTCATTGATATAATTAAGAAGAAATAAAAGTTCATCCATCCATCTATCCAGTCATCTGGACATCTAGTTGGCCTTCAGTTTATTACTTCCCTTATGTTCACATTCACCCTATCCATTCCTTCACCTCCCAACTCCCTACTTATCTACCTATTCATCAGTGTATTCCTTTAGAAATTACATCCTTCAAGCTGCCACTTCCTTTATCAGCCTTTCTACCCATGAGGCCAACCAACTTCAGATAATATCCTATAGCAGAAGCAAAGAAGAAGACCCAACAATGACAAACAATCTTCCCAAGACCACTGACAGCTTTTGGAGGTATAAATAATAATTTCTCTATCCCAAACCACTTCTGCTTAGTTACAGTTACTCAGAAAAACCTAAGGGACAATTCTTACTATAGCGGGTCTCTGCATCAAAGACTTGTTTCTTTCATTTTTCCTTCTGAATGACCTGAATGGAAAGTCCTAAGTGACATCAATCATTATAGCAAACCTGATAACAAGCTGATGTCTAGGGTGATCTAATCATACAGTCCTCAAAGCTAAAAGGCACCTCGCTGCTTATAAACTTAGAATATTCAATCCAACAAACAAGGACATACATTCAATTTTGCAGCTACTAAGACTGTCGAACGAGCAGGTACAAAAACAGCCAGGGAAGCGATTGAAGCCTGGGAAATGGGCCCCTTGTCAGTCAACAGGAGTGCTGATTTACCACCAGCTTATCAAGTACTTAGGAGCCAAGGATGTGACAGCAAAACACAACCAAACACCATATATAAATACCACAAACAGAATTAGGCCAAAGCACACACTCTGCTAGACAGAAGTTCCCTGAGGATGGACTCCAAAAAGCTCAGAAGACAGAGCCTCTGTTCCATTGACTGGCTCAGGCTGGATATCCTGCAATATTATCCATTATTTGCCTTCATTCGTTATGTGCAGTACAAATGCAGTGAGCCATGTGCAGACCTGTACATTGGGAAAACAAAACAGCCACTTCCTAAACGCATGGCACAACACAGGAAAACAAACCCATCGTGACAAGAATCAGTGGTCCAGTTGCATTCAAAAGACAAAGGTCACTCTTGTTCTGACCAAAGCTTCCTGAGACCGTAATTAAGCACACGCTTACTCCAAACAACTCCTGTTTTATTTCAACGGTGGGAATTATGTTTATTCCCAGTCTGTAATGAGTCCCAAACAGTTCCTTGAGATAAGCACCCACCTTTCTCTCCTTTGAATGGCTGCCAACAACTAAAGTGCCAAATTAACAGTAAAAAGCCAACCAAAGTATAAAGTCCACACAGAGCTTCAAGGTTTAATCGAGAGTGAACAACTTTGCTTCCTGCAAAGGTTTCATCACCTTGACCTGTCCTTTATACCTTATGGGAGGGGCAATCACCTCCAAGCTTTCCTCCCGAGTCGTCCCTTTTGTCTTAGCTGGCTCTTGCCTTCTGGCACCTCTGCGCACATGCGCACTGGGAA